CCAAAGGCAAACACCCATCTCCCTCTTAGTCAGGACTCTTATAACTGTTTCGCTTTGAACTTGGTCCCCGGTGTGAATTCTGGTTTTAATAGCTCTAAGCAGCTGGCAAACAGCCTCCTCCTTTATTTATTTTTTTTTAATCCCCTCTTTTCCCCTTGCATTCTTCGATATTGATCAAATTGATGGGGTTGTCTTTCATGCAAAGATAGGCCACGAAGGTGTGTCTTGAAAATTACCTTCCAAATCATCCCAGCCTAGATCCTGAAGTTCCAGCCTCTTCCCCGTGAGCTGGGAAGCCTTGCTCCACCAGATTACTACCCCTTCCCTTGACTCAGGGGCAATTCCAGCCTCTCAACAGAAAATATGAATATGTTAACTTGAGACATCCTCCCTCCAGGCAAAATGGCCACAATTATTTAATATAAAGGACAATTAGAGGAAAAGTTAAGTTCTTTGAGCGGCGTCTCGCGTTAGAAGTTAACTGGAATTACAGATGAGTGGAAATGCTCTGCTGTTGCAGAGCCTGATCAGGGAACTGAAAATTCTGGTTTGCCTCAAGTCCTTCTTTTTTTTTTTAAATCTATTTCTTGTTTCCTTTCTCGACAGGGTCACAGTGTCATTAGGTCTGCCACAAATACGACTCTGCCCCATATGCTTATGTCGCAGCGTGTGATTGCTCCGAACCCTGCCCAGTTACAAGGGCAGCGGGTTCCTCCTAAACCTGGCCTCATCCGCACTACAACTCCAAGCATGAATCCAGCCATCAACTACCAGCCGGTAGGTTACTCGTCTGTCGCTGGGCTTTGGGCACAGTTGCCTGGTGGGGTTAGCAAGAAGGGAAAACAGGAGGTGCCTTACGAGTCTGGTGAGCGCCGCGGAGGGGCTCGGAGCTCAGCGTGAAGAGGTCGGAGCAAAGCTTGCAGGTGGAAACATGTCCCAAGCGTGGACGAAGACGGGTGTCCTTGACCCGCGTGGAAGAAGGAAACGATAAATAATTTAAAAGCTGCCTATTTGGAGCTGCCAGCTACCAAAGTGCTGGTTCGTCCGAGCAACGCTGGCCTCCTGCTGTAACAGCGACACGAAGACCCCAGTGAAGCGGGGTGACTGGTTTGGGAGCAGGACTGGTTGCTCTTCCCGTGGTCAGTAGCAAGCGCTCGCTCGCGTGTGCTTTTCTTTCGCTTCTCTCTGCCGGAAGAGCCCAGCGAGCTCCCTGCAGCCTGGAGCAGGACGCTTAAAACCATTTGTTTTACTTTTGCAAGAGTGGAAAGACTTCTGTGAAGACTGGAAATGGAGAGGGGGGGGAAAAAAAACCCAACACTTTCCAGTTCTAGCTCTGGTGCTGGGTCAAGCAATCAAACCTTTCTCCTGCCAACAGCCTTGGTTCCTGGGCTGCGTCTCCCGCGCTGCGGGACGGTCTCTGTTCCTCATCCCAGGCCGCGACGCTTGGCGATGCTCTGTGTGTGTGCAGGCCCAGGTTAACGGCCCCTGTTAATTCCTTTGAGGGTTTGTTGCCGGTTCTTAAGCCCTTTAATCTGTCCTAACGATAGGATAGTGCAAATTTGTAAATGATAAACATGACTACCCAACAATCTGAAAGTCTTGTATCTCAACAACTGTCAAACAAACCTAATTCGTTTAAAAAAAACACCCCAACTGCTCTTACAGAAGAGTTGTAAGTTCATTGGTGTTAATTCATCAACTGGTTATTTAAATTGGCATGAGTTATCCCTGGTCGGCTCTGCCATTAATTTTCCTGGTCCTACATTAGAACGACTGGTTTGGGATTAGCTTGGTTCTCTGCCTTTTTTCCCCAATCAGCGAAGTGTTAGCAGTCTTAAAAAAGAAAACTGGGGCAAACTGATTGATCTTCAGTGTGTTATTCTCGATCGACACGACCATGCCCCCCGAGCTTTGGTAGCTGACCCCGTTTGAATCGCTGAGAGGGTTTGTTACCGTTTGGGATTTTCCCCTTTGCATGTGTGGAAGTGTTCCTACCCTGGGAAACAGGTAGGCTGGGTGAGAGGCTGGCAGCAGCCCTGCCTGGGCTTAAATAGGTTGCAGGCTGATGGCTTCTTATCACAAAAGACTGTGAAAGCTGCATCCTCGGGTCGGCAGAAGTCTTTGTGCTTTGCTACCGTCACGTGCCAGAGGGGACCGCGGATCCAAATGAACGGAGGATGCAGAAGCAAGCTGCTGGAAATGGAGGAGGAGGGAATTGGCACATTCGGAGCACCTGTGTGGGAGGGGACGGACACCATCTGGCAGCAGGGATGCTGCCTGGGCGCCTGCCAGATCAGCGAAGCAAGAGGTGGAGGAGCAGAACTCGGCAGTGAGCGATGGTGCCCGTGCGTGAATCACGGCGCTCGGCGCTACCTATGCTTGGCAAGGCCGACGCCAGGTCCTGAGGCCAGACCCTGCGCGCGCGTTTCCTCGCCTGCAGAAGTCCCCGGGCTGCTCTGGACTCCCAAGACGACTCCTGTGGATTCCGGTGCACCGGAGGCTCCTCGGCACCGGTGCTGCTGATGGCTTTGTTGTAGGGGCTGAGACTCCTCCTGCAGATTCCGGTGCACCGAGGCTCCTTGGCACTGGCACTGCTTTATCGTAGGGGCTGAGCCGAGCTCCCTGCTCCCAAGTTCCAGCACGGCTCCTGTCTCCCCAGGTCCTTTTGGGAGTGTTGGCAGACAGAGGGAGGGTTGTGAGAAGGCGATCTGGCTCATCCAGCTTACCTTAGGGGCTGAGCCGTAGTCGGGGACTGTATTAATTTTCTGTATTAATCCTCATCTCCTCTTCCTCTCCAGCAATCAAGTTCTTCTGTTCCTTGCCAGCGTACGTCGTCTTCAGCCATCTATATGAACCTTGCCTCTCACATCCAGCCTGGCACTGTGAACAGGGTGTCGTCTCCGCTCCCCAGCCCCAGTGCTCTGAACGACGCCGCCAACTCCCAGGCAGCCGCCAAGCTTGCCCTGCGCAAGCAGCTGGAAAAGACGCTGCTGGAGATCCCACCCCCAAAGCCACCCGCTCCCCTGCTGCATTTCTTGCCCAGCGCAGCCAACAGCGAGTTCATCTACATGGTGGGGCTGGAGGAGGTGGTGCAGAGCGTTATCGACAGTCAAGGTGAGCTCGGGGGGCTCAGCTTTCCTCAATTGCCACAATCCAGTGCTCCCTCATGCTGTTCCCTATTTATTTTTTTTTTTGCAAAACACCAAAATCTGCAGCTCGGGAGGCTGCGAGAGAACGGTTTCTGGTCTTACCCAGCCCTGGACTCGCTCCTTCTTGCTGCGGCTGCCTGCAGCGGAGGGGAGGCCAGAGCCCGGATCCCCCCGGGCGCTAGGGAGCTGCGTGCTGACCCCATGGGCACGGAGCCGGTCTGGCGAGGCTGGCAGCCGTGATGTGCCAGGCCTGCAGCCGGCCCCGGAGCAACGGTGTCTGTGCCCTGGGGCTCGTCGGGCTGTGCCCACTTGGGGAGGGGTCTCCCAGGCCCTTCCCTTGCCCTGAATGAACATTTGGGAGCCGAGATGCAAAATCCTCAGAGCTGTGACTGCCTGGGGTCCCATCCCTGCGGGATGGCGGAGGTTTTAGTTCCCACTTCACCATTCCCTCCGGATTGTCGCCTCCCAGCTGGCCGGGATCTCGCCTGTGCTCTTCCAGTGTGTCCTCGGCACGGTGTAACTGCGGTGCGTCCGTGGCTCACCTGACTCAACCACCAAGACCCCCGGATTTTTATAGTCTTGTCCCAGCACCATTGGGTTGTTCTGTCCCTGCGGCAGGATTTCTCCTGTGTCTCTCCCGGGATGCTGAGCTCTTGCCCAGAGCGGGGTTGGACTTTGATGCAATGCTGTCCTGAAAATCCGTTGATTTGCTGGGACCTTCCCTCCCGCTCCGACGGTGCCCGGGATGGAGGAGGCGGTGTGAGAGTGGGGGGCTGTCCCTTTTTCCCACCTAACTCCGGTTCTTGCTGACTCCCAGGGAAAAGCTGCGCATCCCTCCTGCGTGTGGAGCCCTTTGTCTGTGCCCAGTGCCGCACCGACTTCACCCCTCACTGGAAGCAGGAGAAAAACGGGAAGATCCTGTGCGAGCAGTGCATGACTTCCAATCAGAAGAAGGCGCTGAAGGCAGAGCACACCAACCGACTGAAGAACGCCTTCGTGAAAGCTTTGCAGCAGGAGCAGGCAAGTAGACGGCCACCCTCTGAGCTGTGCCGGTGGGGCACGTTTGCTCTGGGAGAGCCTGGAGCTCCCCAGCCCGGGCTCCGGGACCCCCTGCTCCCCTTCCCTTTGCACGTCTCCAGCCACGCCGCTTTTCGGTAGGTCAATCGGGGTTCCCCATGAGTGAGCTTGAGGAGTTTGGGTTTTCCATGCCCAGCTCGGCACATGGAGCTTCGAAGAGCGAAAGGCTGGTGCCGAGTGTCCAGAGTGCTCCGGAGCGGCTGCTCCTCTCCCTTTGTGCATTGTTTTCCCCCTGGATTTGTAGCTCGAGGGCTGGCTGGGGACAGCTGCCACTGACCTTCCTGGAACTCGCGGGAAGTCGCTTAACTGCTTGCTGCCTGCTCGCTTTTCTGTGGAAGGGAGGAATTTGTTAAATTTCTGTGATAAATCAGTGTTGGAGAACTTGTTTAGAGGCCCTGGGGTAAAATAAACTGGAATCATCATTTGTGAACTGTAAAAAAACCCCTAAATACGAAGTGGAATCTGGCTGCTGACAAATGGGACGTGCCTGTTTCGGAGCAAAAAGAGTCTTCGGGCTGTTTGTAACAAGTGCGTGCAGAGATAGAAAAGCTGTTCGTGTTGGCTGCGGCAAGACTGCAGTTCCAGTAACACCTTGGGAAAGCAGCTGGGTTTTCAGTGGTTTTCCAATAAAGCAGCGATTGCGGAACGTGGGGAGAGGGACCTGCTTCCCCTCTTTCCGGGAATGCCACCGGTGCCGGCGTGAGCCCCGGCGTGCCCTGCTCGTGGTGCCGGAGGGGTCAGCTTGGACCTGTGGCGTCTGGTCGGGGCGGCGAGGTCTAATCGGGTGGCGTGCGCCTCTGAGGATGCTTCTGGTTCTTTTGCTCAGGAGATCGAGCAGAGGCTACAGCAGCAGGCAGCCTTGTCCCCCACCGCAGCTCCTGCCGTCTCCAGCGTCAGCAAACAGGAGAACATCATGCGGCACCACACGCTCCGGCAGGTGAGCCGCGCTCGTTCTTCCGGAGCTCCGGCGCTGAGCTCCCAGCTGAGCGGGACTACGCGTCCCCTCGCTTGTAGCCCAGCTGGGCGCTCCTGGTTCGGAGCGGGGTGGGCACAGCGAGCGCTCCCCGATGAGGGAGCTGCGAGCATCCCGCTGCCTTCTCTCTTACAGCAGCTTTGGGGTCTGGCTGCCCTTTTCCCTGGGCACTGAGGGTTGCTTTTAACTGGGGTCCCCTGCACCCCATTTCCTCGAGCCAGCAGAGACCGTAGCTGCTGCTGGTCTCCTCCCACCCCTTCCCCTCGGGATCTCTCCCCTGTCGATCCCGTGCCGTCCGGTGGGGGAGCCCGCAGCACGGCCCCGGACTCCGCCGCCCGATTACGTACCTCTACAGAGCCATCTGCAAACTGCGTTTTCCACATAGCAGCCAAGAACCACAACGGATTCTTCACCCCTCTGGCTGCAGCTCCGTCAGCGACTGCTTCCAGACTGCCGGGCCATCCCAGTGCCTTCCTACCAACTTTGTTCTCCTCTTCCTCAGGCTCCGCAGCCCCAGAGCACTTTGCAGCGTGGCATCCCCACCTCTGCCCGCTCCATGCTTTCCAACTTTGCGCAGGCGCCCCAGCTGTCGGTGGCGGGCGGTCTCCTCGGCATGCCAGGTAACGTCCCCCGTCCGCGCCGGAGAGCTTGGGGCTAGACGGAGAGCGGGATGGGTCGCTCTGCGCCTGGTTTGATTTTTGGGGGGTGGATTGCCACCAGCAGAGGCTGATGGTGATCGTGGTGCTTCCCTTCCCCCTGCCGCCGAGGCCCTGCAGTCCTCCGTGGATTTCAGAGGCGTGGGTTTGGGTTACATTACTCCTTCCTTGGTAAAAGCTGGGAGCGTCCTGGCTCGCTGGGCTGGGTCAGGAACCAGGGACCTCCGAGGAGCTGGAGGAGTCCCCACCTCCTTTTCTCTCCCCTCTCCAGGTGTTAACATCGCTTACCTGAATGCTGGGATCGGAGGCCACAAAGCGTCGAGTTTGGCGGACCGGCAGCGGGAATACCTTTTGGATATGATCCCACCCCGCTCTATATCGCAGTCCATCAGCGGACAGAAATAACGCCTGTTGACCGTCCCCCCCTTCCTCCCCACTTCCGTCGCATGCAGTGCCTGTACTGGTGCCTACCGTACACGGGGAAAAAAAGACAAAAAAAAAGAAACAAAAAACAAACAAATGAAAAAACAAACAAACAAACAAACAAACCATTTCAAACCTTCAGCGACCTGTCCTTTTTCCAAACCTTAACTTCTTTGGTTTTCTATAGCAGTGAGAGGTCACTTCCTTTGCCCGAGGTCAGAACAATGTCTGCTTGAAATCAGCACTCTACATGTGTTAAAGCTTGTTTTATGCTATTTTTTGTAATGACAAAGCATAGAATTTTTAATTGTGTTGTGGGTTTTTTTTCCTTTTTTCTTCCCCCCCCCCCCCCCCCCCTCCCTCATGCTTGGTTTAACACTTTCTTCTTCG